CTGACGATTTTTTTGAGTTTTTATTTTTCTATTAGCTTCTACTTGGGATGTCAGATATCGTTCACGTTTGAAATTAATCAAAATTCTTTATCGTACACGTTGATGAGATTTTAAAAGTAAAGATAAACAAACGCAAAACACAAGGAAACCGTACGCAATACGATACCAATGTCTTTTTCATGATTATTACGTAACTATTTAAAGAAATTTTTGTACTAAATTGTATTTGTTGGAAGAAAGGAAACATGTTTTAAGAGGTCTAACTGTAAAATATGAACATGAACTTTATACTGTTATAAATTACTATACGGCAAACACAATCTTAAAAAAAAAAAAAGAGAAAATGAAGATCAGGGGTAGCCAAATAGAAAATTGCGTGGGAGTTCTTGTCTCATCATAGTAGGCTGTAAATAACGCTGTATGAAAGGGAAGGGAAAAACCACCAAGGGATTCCCTCATCAAACTTTACTTTGTGTTGGTCAAAGAGATGCAATTCTTCCAGTTGGTCAGGAAAAACAACTTTGAAAGTGATCACAGAATTGGTGAATTCTATATCCCCTGTGATCTGTCCACGTCCTACTGGTAAAGAGACATAGGTTGGTGAAGTACAATCAATCTCTTATTGAGCATAGGCAAGATTGCTTTAACTGGACCCAAATTATTTTCTTACATTTTCATATATTTTTGCGGCGCGTCACCTTTCAATATGCAAATCTAAAAAGAAACCAAAACATATCTTTATGAAAATGCCAAACCCTATGGAACCCCTAAAAAAAGAAAACCCGCCCTGTTTTGAGTACCTATGCTTCTTGAATTCTTTTGCAATTATATTTTTTTATATCCGCTATCATATATAATACAATGGTGTAGTATATGCAATAGCCAGAAGGGCTTGAAATAGACCCAATGCAATAACTGTTTGCCTTGATCTATCCTTGACTGTCTGCCTGTGCGCCTATCAGTTTTGATTTCTTGTGTTCAACCTGCCGATCGCATCTCTTGAGATATTTCCTAGAAATCTGTTATATGGACCTGCTTTAATCCATAATCGCATTTTTGCGACATTTTGACGTGTTTTGGCCGAAGGACGAGCGCCATTGAAAATAGTTCGGAAAATGGCTTTTCAATGGCTTCCCATATAACTTCTTAATTTAAAAAGTCGTTATAATAACTGTAGGGTAATGCTTTATGTCTATAGTTTTTTTTTTTTGCTTGTTTTCATTGCATACAATGGCAGACTTTTGCCATCTCTGAGGTGCATTTTTGTATGTATATATATATGTATGTATATATATGTATACAATCGTGATCATTTAAATGAAAAGAACAACTTATCTATCTACACAACAACTTATGTTATAGTGCAGTGGAGGTCTGCCTAAAGAGCAAAAATTCTTAAGATAATATTTGTATTAAATACTATTTGCATGGAAAGAGCGTTTAAAGTGAGAAATTCAATTTTTGCTTTTCACCCACTGACAATACATGCATAAAATTTGAGTGCAATAGTTCTCTATATATATGTATATATTTATATACATATATTTATATATATATATATGGAGCATTAGGGAGACGTTTATTTTTCAAAATGTTTGCCTTTAAAATCTTATATGAAATTGATTTCAGTTGAGAATTGAACGTAAAACTGTAAAATCGTGAGTGTCGAATAAAAATTTAATAAAAAAAGTAAAAGAAAATTTTTAATAAAAGTTAATTTAGTAAAGAAAATTATTTAAAAAAAAAAAATAATAATAATAATAAAATTAATTTTTTAATTATTTCTTAATAAGATAAATATATATATATATATATATATATATAAGAAAATATTATATATAAAAAGAAAATATTAACAAAATGCATAGCAAATTATTGGATGAGGTTAGTAAAAGTAATAAAAAAAAAAAAAATTAATTGTTTTAGTATGCTCACCAATAATTTAAACAATTTTTATTTTTTTTTTTTTTGTTTTATTTTTATAGGATGACTTCAAATTATCTATCTTGGCATTTACAAAATTTACAAAATATTCTAAAATTAGCTTAAAGACTAATTTCTAAACAAAAAAAAAAAAAAAAAAAAAAACTCGTTACACCTTTCCTTCGTCACAGATAAGCATCATTAATTTTGTGTTCTCTCTCTCTCTTGGGACAAATCCTGTTTGATGGCCCCCTACCAAAACAAACAATAATCTTTTCCTTTTTTTTTCTTTTGTTAGTAATAGTGAGCCTATTAATTAAAGATAATTTAAGTGTAATAAAATGAACCTTTGGTGCATTTCCAGTATATAGATATCTGGGGCGAATGTTCGATTTTTTTTTTTTTTTTTTGAGTTGTTTTAGCTTTAATTCCTTTTAAATTTTTGGAACTAATCTAAACTAAGCGAGAGGAAGAAATATGGGGTACGTAAGTAAACCAAGGACCAATGGACCAAAAATCTTTTAAACCGTAATTCCTTTTTTCTAACAAACTCCTATAAATGTGAGTGGATTAATCAGGCTCTACTTAATTTGGATCTTTGTTTAACTTAATTGAATGCCCCATGAAAATGTAATGAAATCGTCGACTTGGTTGTCCAATTTTTTTACTTATTTTGGACGAGTTTTTAAGGCGAATTTTAGGCGCTTTTATTTACACTGCAAATTTTTGTATGTCATGTGTCAACTGTGATTCGGGGAGTGAAGAAAGTATATAAGCTTAATATAGAAGCGAATAAAAACACTATAGTGGGCCACAGCCCACCATTAAAGACCTCATAGCATCCCGCACTTATTCATATAACGACTTTTCCAAATAAGGCGCTTTATGGGAAGTCCTGGAAAAAGTGGTCCGATCCAAACTATTTTCAATAGCGTTCGTCCTTGAGTCAAAAAAACGTCAGTTTAACGAATGTCATCAAAACATCTCAACAATTTTCTCCTTAAGGTTCAACACAATAAATTAAAATGGACAGACAGACAGACAAGCTTAAATTGTTATAATAAATGGTGGGTCTAACCTAAATTTTTCTGGGGATTGCGTACATAAGCATAAATTCAGTATACGCTTGCATCACAAGTGGTGTAGGGTACAATTATTACAGATGGGCATGTACATGGGTTTCATTTTTTTACTTATTTGAATCGCTCTGTTGATCTGTTGTCTACCCATTTGTATTGTGTTCATGCTACTAATCGATATTCTGATAATATTTGGTTCGCGGGTCTTGATCCCATGAAGTCCTCACATAAGGTCTCGTTCCGTTGAAGAGAAAAAAAAAACATCGAGAAGTTACATAGGAAATTTAATGCCGAGCCTTCCTTTACTCAGGCATTTTGCTTATTTAAGTTCAAATTGTTAACTTTAAAATTTCATTCCCAGACTGAGAGCAGTTCATTAGCATATGTAGATAACTGGCACTTTAGGAGCTATAGAAATTGTTCATCTTTTGTTTGTAAAAATCATAAAATCATTTGATCAAATCAATTACGAAAAGGTTGCGAAGCCTTTCCTGAGACATGCAAGTGGTTCAATGCACTGAAAGGAAAAAATTAGTGGAGTTAGCTTCAGTGTAGATAGCTTCACGGATGCGATGGCATAAAGGTCAAAAGATTATTGATGTGATCAATATTTGCTTCTATAAAGTTCATTAAAAATATAAGAAAAATATCTTTGAAGTTTTGTACAAAAACGCCACGAATTTTTTCTTTTTGACTTTCATGTAATCGAAGTGAAATTTCCTTACGGTCAATTTTGAGTTGTGGCAGCATAAAAACTTACTGAGAGGTAGCAATGTTTTTTCAGTTAAAAAGTAATTAATGCAAACATTTGTATGTATGTCAAATTATAATCTTCTTTGTTACTTTTGCTTTCGTGGAAATTCTAACAAAGAAAGTAAATTGTGGGGTCTGCTAGAAATTCATAGATATCATTACTTTAAAATAGTGTTCCGATGACTCTAACCGTTTAGCGAAGATTCGTGGCGCGAAAGCTTAACCCTGCGATACTCGCTGGGACATCAGCAGCAAGAAAACGGCCGCGAGTATGACTAGAGTCTAATTGCTAGAAAGAGAAAGTGGGTCGCATTTAAACTTTCTGCCTCTCTATGAACTAAGCACCATTGCCGTAATCCGGCCGAACCTAAGCACAGTTTCTTACACTATTGGAATCGATGATACCGGAAAGCAAAGAAAAGGAAATAAAGATTTCTGATTAAAAATTGCGATATGAATTCTTACTTATATATATTACGTCATATATTATTAAACCAAAATGATGTATATGAAACGGAAATAAAGAAAACGCAGTTCATATCAATATATACATATATACATTTAATTTTTTCTTTTTTTTATTTGTAATAAATGATATGCATACATACACGCATATATGTATATATTTATTATATTCATTAAACTTAAGTACTTTACATGTCTTTATAGACATGTTAAGAGTTTAAATCCCGAAAAGCTTTCGCTAGTTACAAATTTTTAGGAACCGATATAAGTAAGGCAGTGCAATCCTAAAAGATTATATTCCAAATTGATTTCAAGCTCCAAGTTTCAATTGCATTCAATAAACGGGTTTAGAGTAAGATTTGAGCATTTATTTAGATTTCATGCTAGTAAAATATATTTCAATTGTAAGAAAAACATATGTTATCATAAAAAAAAAAAATGATTAATCATATGTGTAAAATGCAATTTCTTTTTTTTTTTTTTTTTTTTTTTTTAATTTCCGTTTCATATAACTTATTCTGATTAATTAATTCAATGACATGTGACGTAAGTTTGATCTGCGAACAACATAAGAAATATATACGAGATATATACCAACACATATAAATATAAAATGTAAACGAGAAATATTCAGATGTAGCGAACCTTTATATTTTAGAACATGTGCTCAGGAGATATAATCAAAAAATAAGTCAATTTAATACGAATTTTAAATGCCCTTCAGTTAGCATAAGTACTCTCTCTCTCTCTCTCTCTCTCTCTCTCTCTCTAGACTTAACACTTCAATGCAAGAATTTTTATTTTTTAAATAAAATGAGTCTAACCACGAAACAATAATGAAAATTGTCATAGGTAAACTGTCAAAGATTATAGTCGCGTTCAACAACGATAAAAGAGTTTCGGTAAAATTAAAATAAAAATACTATGTAAAGGTTGCTCCATAAAGGCTTTTAGCCATACGATGCAAATCTTCTACATCCCTATGCACTTAACGGTTAATTCCAAGATATTACTTTAACGACCCTTAGGACCTTGACGTCTAAGCTGATATTGATAGCGAGTGTGCCTCCTCGAATTCTGAAAGTGCGAAATAGAAAATTATAGAGAATAAGAAAATACATACCATAGCGAAGAGCTTTTTTCATACTTGGTCTGTGCAGGTATCAAGTTCAAACATCATTTCAATTTCCAATAATTTAGCAATAGACAATTCGTTATATATATATGTATATAAATTGACATATATATCTATATTTATATATGCATGTCTACATGCATGCATGCATAAATTCCTTTTCAGCAAACAATATAAACACTTGAATATATCCTCACCTATGCATAATGAATATGAAATAAAGTCACAACTAAAATTATCGCAACGAATTATTCGCTTGCACACGAAACTTGTTTCCTTTTCATTCTTTTTTTTTTATTCTTTTTGTTCTATGAAATGAAAATGAAAATATTGTTCAAATACCTGACAAAATAGAAAAAAACTGCATCTGCCTGCGTTAGGTTGGAATAAAGCTTCTGACACTAATAACAATTTTGAGCTGTAAGGCAGTGTTCTTTATGAAAAGTCTCAACGTTTCATCCTAATTCCTGTGACCGTAAACATCCGAACAGAAGGCGATAAATAGAAAACAGACTGACGGATATAGAGTCAAATGAACCGAGTTACATCGATTAAGATTGTGATGCTCATCAAGTATGCCGTGCATTTAGTCTGATATCTGATGTCAGGTATTTAGTATACCACACATTTTATGTAACATCTGTCTCTCTCTCTCTCTCTGTCTCTCTCTCTCTCTCTCTGTCTCTCTCTCTCTCTCTCTCTCTCTCTCTCTCTCTCTCTCTGTCTCTGTCTCTCTCTCTCTCTCTCTCTCTATCTATCTATCTATCTATCTATCTCTCTCTCTTTCTTTCTCTTTCTCTCTCTTTCTCTCTCTTTCTCTTTCTCTCTCCCTCTTCCTCGACTTAATAAAGATGCAATATTTCTGAATGCTTAGTTTCTCACCGACTGCGAGGGACTTCATATTTTTCGATAACTACCTCAACAGATCTCTACAAAATTTTCGAATTGCAAAATAAATTTAATTCTTGGAAAAGTTTTGGTAAACCACTTACCACTCTCTAATAGAGAGAAGAATGAGAACGAATTTTATATAATAATTGCCAAAAAAAATATATGGAAGGTGGGAGCCATCAGTTCTTATAGATAGTAAAGACTATATCCGCAAGAGTCGCGACTTACACATCAATGTTTCCGAGTTGAAATCTCAATAGTGGTAAAGTTTCCTTAACTTTTGATTTTTTATTCAATTTAAGTGGTACCTTTAAAATACGACAGAACTTTCTATCCAGTCCAATCTTAAACAAAATGAAAAAAACGAATTTACATAGTTTATACAATTGGGCGTGTAATTTTTCTAAAATAGAAGGAAAATTTATCTTAAATTAATATTTAAAAATAATTGCGATGACTAAAAAAACAATGATCTAACAAGCATATCTGTCTTAATGCAAGTTCACGTTTACAATAAAACGTTAAACAGACATAGTTGGGCCTTGTGACCGACTCCGCTAATAAATAGTGTTTTTAACTTTAGCTTAAATTTTATATTCCAAAGTAGTATAAGTCATAATATTATAAAACGCTCCAAAGTAAATTTTGTTATAAAGCAAGCAAATCCTTTTGACTTATCACGTGTCTGTGACGAGAGTGTTACTCTGTTTGTGGAACCCGGGAATATGCTTCGCAGATCTTCTTACGTACACAAACCCTTGATCTGTCCTTCCGTACGATTTTAATTGTGTGCTTAAGTTCGATGCAAGTCTTCACAAACATGTTAGTGAACGCTAGAGAACTGGAAGTTGTCTGATCATGTTGTTTTATTAAAAATTCGAAATATTTTTTTTGTCGGTCGATCAAAAGAATCCACCCAAATATATATTGTATATTGATAAAAAAAGACATCTATGATCAAAATGGCATATTTTTAGTCTTGTAAAGTTCATTTAAACCATGCAAAAAAAGAGTTTGAATATTGGTAAAAAAACGCTACGAACTTTTTCAGTACCTTGATCTTGATAGGAGCCGACATGGTTAAGAAACTTGGAAAACAAACAAAGAAATTTTGTATATTTTTCTTATTCGCAATACACGTGGAAAAGGACTATGTTAGGCTTCTAAACAATATTCAAAGTGAAAAAAAGACGGACAGATGGACAGACAAGCGAAAGTGATTCTGAATCGATTTAAGCTTGTCTGCTGTGTAATAAGTAATAATAAGTGGGTTTATCCCAAGGCCTTCGGAGTGTTAGATACAACCGTACAAACTTGTACCACAACTGGTGTAGGATATAAAAAACTGAAATTGGAAATTTGAAAATATCACTATCTTAAATTTTAGATCTAAAAGTTGGTGAAAAGAATTTAAAAAATTAATAGTACATACATAGTTAAGCAGACGATGTACAACTAGCAAAAATCCTCTCCGAATTTTATGCCAGGTAATTTTTCCTTGATATGTCGTATATCCAAGATTATCCACAACGTGTCTATACATTTTTATACCCTACACCACTCGTGGTACGGGCTACCTGAAGTTAGTGCAAATGTATATCATACGCAGAAGGTTTTAAGATAAACCCACCTTTTAGGATACCGATCGATTCAAAAAATGATTCTATCCGTCCGTATGTCCATTTGGCTCGCAATTTTTGCGATAATTTTATGAACATTGGTACACTAATGTGCTTTGATCCAAACACGAACGCGTTTTCGACCATCCCATATAACGCCTCATTCTGAAAAATTGTTATACGGAAAAAAATTTCCCATTTTCAAAATAAATCTTTATATGATAGGCAGAAATAATTTTCAATAATTCATAGTGAAAACTATAATAAATTAATAATAAATTGACAAAGAAATCAATCTTATTAAATGGGTCTAACTCTGCCCGCTTAGGGGGGCTTTCATACGACGTAAACCCTTTTATGCCAGAAAGAGTTAATTGTTAGTTGATGAAAATTTATTCGTGGTAGTAAATAAATAAAAAAAGTTAGGTGAACCTAACATGAACCATACGGGTCTATTTGTTGGGCCCACTTCGTATGAGCGCAAGTGCTTCGGAAAAACGCTTTTTACTAACTTTTAATATTTTATGATGAAAATTAATTCATAATAGCGTTTGAAGTGCACAGTAGGGAATTTAGATCGCATAGATTTACTTTTTTGATCCTAACATACGTAAGCAAGCTCTTGAATGGGAAGAAAATCTGATTTTCCAATAAGCGGGCTTTCACGAAAATTAGGGCTTTGCATGAAAATAATATGTGTTTTTTCGCTCACGAGTGGATACATGTACTTGGCAAGGTGATGTAATAGTCGGCTTAGCCCGACTATAATGTTCTTTATTTGTTTTGTTTTCATTTATTTAAATTATTTAAATACATTTCACTATTTATTACAAATCACCTGATAATTGTAAAGCTCTATGCAAATTCAACAACATCGCATTGCATTTATTAACTAAACGTATTATATTTATGTTGTAAATGTCAAAAGTTTAAATGCGATCCGGCATTGTATTGATTATGTAAATAAATAGAAAATACTTTTAATTAATACATATATGGTTTGATTTGCGTTCATACATTTTTTTTTTTCTTCGTTTTTTTTTTAATTGCTATTCATTTCATTTTTCATTTTGTAAGTGCAGTGACCTTATTGTTTAGTGTATGTGCACTCAGTCATATATATATATATATATATGCATTAAGAATTTTTAAATAATTCATGCAATTATTTTAGTTATTATTATTATTTTTTTCAAATATTTAGTTGTACTGATAAACAAACTTTAATGGAAATTGAAAATTATTATTTATTTCGCTTCGCTATATTATTGTCTCTTTGTTTAATATTTCGAATTAGTTTTGAACACGACTTCAAAGCTTTTTAGGTTTGAAAATGTAAACAAACGTTTTTTTGAAACAAAGGAGAAAATATGATCAGCAATTGTGTGTGTGTGTGTGTGTGTGTGTGTGTGTGTGTGTGTGTGTGTGTGCGTTTTTGTGTTCTAATAAAAATTAGTTAGCATGTTAGGCTAGCAGCTTTGGTAAGCCTTTTCTTTTTATATTTTTCATTATTAAAAGAATGAAAATTTCCAAAAAAATCGTAAATCGTAAATCACTTGTGGTATGTTTAGCTTGTGCAGATGTATGTAACACCTAGAAGGACTTAAGATAGACTCACCTTGTAATATATTGATCTAACATTGTCCGTCCGTCTGTCCGAGATGTTTTCGAGATGTTTTGTATGCCCATGTGTACGAGCATGTGTTTATACCCCACCCCATCAGTTGATCATATAGTTCGTCGGAACATGACTTCAGTATACATAACGGAATGCCATAAGATAAGATAAGATAACGCACTATTACATATCGGCGACCCTAAAACTAGCAACATGTAAAGAAATTTATTCAAACATTCTCAACTGTATACAATTTGTATTTTCTCAGATTATATAATCATTATATAATCAGTTGTAGTGCGGTGTATATTAAATCTGTGCGACTGTACGTAACATTTAGAAGTGCTTAAGATAAACACACCTTTTATGATATCAATCGATTCAAATTCATTCATTTGAAGTCGATAGCTGCATTTCTGCGGCCAGGAGAATGTTTTCAAATGAAATTACACAACGGCGGACAAGCTTAAATCGATTTAGGATTTGATACTGGTCAAGAATATACATATAGTTTGTGGGGTCGTTAATGCTTACTACTGGGCGTTGCAAACGTTTCGACAAAATGAATTGCCCGCATCCCACGGTGATGGGCATAGAAATTAGTGCAATAAATGTCTGAAGAGTTGAATTTTAATCAATTATTGTGCAACAAAAAAAAAAATAAAAAAAAATAAATAAAAAAAATGACAAAAAAAAACTTAAAGCTTAAGGTCTTAATGATAAGAAAGAGACACGAATAAATGAACTCAACTTTTCATTTTTATTTCATTGCAATTGCTATATGCACACACACACATGTGTCGATACATATGCACTAAATATATATAAATATATATATATATATATATATACAGGCGATTGCAATGATTGCACATGTAACAATAAAAATAAAACAATATTTTCTAAAAACGTGTGTGTCAGAGTTTAATAACAAAGAGAGATTTTTCTTTTCACATTTTAAGTGTGATTTTTATTGCATTCAATTATTTGCTTTTTTTTTTTTTTATTTATTAGATAAATGAGAATGGGTACGTAATTCTCGAAGATTTCCTTGCACCTGAAGAGATTGATATCTTATATAAAGCTGGGCGTACATTGTGCATGGATGCGCCACAAATTAATCGTAAAATCTTCAGTTCTGTTAATAGTGAAAATTCTCAAAGTAAAGATACGTATTTTTTGAACTCTGGTGATCGAGTTTCATATTTTTTTGAAGAGGGGGCTGTAGGTGAAAATGGCGAATTGTTAGTCGATCCTATAGTATCGTTAAATAAAGTTGGCCACGCTTTACATGTTGAACATCCCGATTTTAAAAAGATAACATTTAGTAATCGCATACGGGAAATTTGTTGGCAACTTGGCTTTAATAAACCAGCGGTTTGTCAAAGCATGTATATTTATAAAAATCCTGGTATTGGTGGTGAAATTATTTCGCATCAGGACTCTTGGTATTTACATACCGAACCGAATAGCGCTATCGGTTTTTGGATAGCTCTAGAGGATGCCACTTTACAAAATGGTTGCTTACAATTTATAAAAGGTTCTCACAAAAGTGGAGTTCATCGCCGATATATACGAAACCCGGATAGAGAGTCAAAAGAATTAGTGATTTATGATAGAGCTGCACCCATATATCCACAATCGACTTTCACACCAGTGCCCGTTACTAAAGGTTAGTTCAATGAGTATTTATTTTTAAAATTTTTATGATTTTATGGAAAATAATTTTCTTTTAATTTTATCCGTTTACTAAAGGTACCTGTATTATCATAGATGGCAATGTAGTGCACAAAAGTGAACCGAATCGTTCGAATAAGAGTCGCCATGCCTACACTTTCCATGTTATAGAGACTGAAAATAATGTTAAATATGCGGAAGATAATTGGTTGCAGCCGCCAGCAGATAAACCGTTTCCAATTCTATTTGAGAGGAAATAAACGAAAACCGAATAAGAATTATTTGTGTATTGTATTTTCATTAAAGTATGTTTAGATGTATACAATTTTTACGTTTTCTATGAATTGTATCAAGGACTTGGTATAACAAGGAATACATATTTTTGAAGATTTAAAGCAGGGATGACCTACTCTTTCATCAACGGGCTAAAATTTTAATTTTCATATCACAGCCAAGATCAGAACAATATCCAACTTTTATTAAAAATCCGACATTCTACATCAATTATACTTCCTTTTGAATCACTCATTTTATGGCCTAGTGAACAAAGAAAACCACATTTCACAATTAATGACTGCACAGCTAAGCTACTAGTGAACCATCCATTTGCATGGCATGGTTGCGCTCTGTGCAAGCAAATTGATTTAATTCAAATTTTAAACGGCCGGCGTTTACCCATGCCTGGTCGACGGAAATCGCGTAAAATTCATAATATTTAGAAATTATATAATCTCTCTTTCATATTAAATAGAAAGATCTTATTATAGAATTTCTTGTGAAAGTGTACTTCTTCTTAAAACTACATGTCGAAGAAATTCATTTCAAAAAGCATAGGTAGGTTTTCGAAACAGCCCTATAAGTGATAGACATACTCATTAATTTCAACGTTTCTACGTCTTATTGGGATTGTTGTGACAACTATTTATATAAATCCAATAAAAAAGCCCGTAAACTTTTGTGTCTTATTAGGAGGAGAGTATTGCAAACATCCATGTCGAATTAAAATCGGTCATAAGATCTACACAATTGTTTCCTTATCGAATCAACTATAACGAATAGAAATCGATGCTATCAAAGTTCAGGTTCCTATGGTTATAAATATAATGCAAGAAAAAAATTGAAAGAAGTAAATAAGGCAGTGGCTAGATCTTCGATACCCACTATCTTTATCTTAAAAAAAAAAAAGAATTAATTTTTGATGCTCTACAATATTTAGGAAACGGGGGCGATATTTTGCATTTATGTATGTGTGAAGAAATTTTTATTGTTACCCCAATTATAGTTTACAAGTAATGAGCAAAAAAAACATTTTTGGTGCTTTTGAAAAGAGAGGTTCTCTTTGATCGATTTTGCTCATTTCCGATATCAAGCTTCATGTAAGAAATTCTATGAAAGCGATATCTTACATTTTGCGATCGGAAGAATGTTTGTTTACCGCAGACGAGCACTTGGTCATTCCTAGGCCGATTCAAATGCATACTGATCAAGAATATGTAGATGTATATTTTATAAGATCTATAAAGCATGCTTCGACGTTTTGAGCATAGGGAATATACCTCCATCATTCGTTGATAGATATAGAATGGATAATTCAGCATTTGATTGAAATCGAGATAATTCAATAGCAATCTTGCAATCAACAAATAACGATTCATCAGAAATCTTGTTCAAGAAAATCAATGAGTCAAAGTAGCAAAGGCAAATTGAGCTGCCTAAAAATATTCTACATTTTAATAGCAACTAATATTAAAACTTACTTAGTTGCTCTGCGCGCCCACTTTAATGGCAATCTATAGAAAACATTAGTTGATAGAAAACTAAACTTAAACTGGAAATAAATGTTAACTTATTTCGTCTGGTATTAACTGAATTAATTATTAAAGCTAAACGCTAATTACCACGACACAGATAATCCTATCGAAAATAAAAACTAAAAAATTTTTTTTAATCGATTAAAATTCTTTTTTCATAAAAAGAAGAAGAAATTAATTACATCTTCATATATCATGTAAAGATTCTACCTATGTTAATTGGATCAAGTAATGATTATATCCATCGTTTGATGGTTATTTGCAAATCTCTTGCAATATTTATGTTTGGTTATTGAATCGTTTTACAGATAATTCAAAAAATCCTTTATTATACCTTTGGCTTAGGTTTCATCTTTTCGAAACACAAAGCAATTGACTTTGTTTTTTAATTAATTTAGTTACATTTTATAATCTGTTTTTCGTCCTTCTTTGCGTTTTTTCAGAGGCGCTAATTGTCCGCATCCACCTTATGCTTAACCCTTTGCATTCCGGGGGTTTTTTTACTCAAAAGTGTGACAACTCTGTGACAAATTTTGCGTTGGAGCACCTGAACAGTGAACTTCTGTTGTACTAAAAAAAGAAAAAAAGATCTGTTGTTATAAATTTATTTATTTAATTAATGTAGTTTGTGATAAAAGAATTACAAGGTTCTACAAAGAAGAAGAAGAAGAAACTTGTGGCCCCACAACATTCGGTGCTACTGTAAAATCTATTCTACCTGCTGGAACTTCATCACACTCTCTGTAATGTCTTGCCAATTGTCATCACCTTCATCTATTTTTTAAGAATGACTACCAATGTCCCCATCAGTATCACTCTCAATAACACATATTTTCCGTTTTTTTTTTTTTTACAATTAAGTCGCAATCATCACTGCTATCAGTATCAGTATATTCACTTTGCTGGATATTATTTCCAACTAAATTGTCTACAAAAAAATTCAATATCAATTTCATTAACACTTTCGTTTTCACTGATCTCAAAACTTTCCCAATAATCTCCTTCTTCCATGTTTTCTCAAGGGTAAATCTATCTAATATAAAATAAAATTCAAAATTTGCTAGTCATTGAATGCAAACTACGCAATAGCGGCCCCGATAGAGTTAGTGCAATGAAAGCATATGGCGCAATAGCTACGCCTACAGAGTGCAAAGGGTTAAATATGCTGGGTTAAGTAACAAGCAAAACTGTAGCACAACAATTGCTGTACAATTGTTACAACACAAGTTAGTTACACTTACGCAATACATTACGCACGCAATGTCTTATTAATTAGTTTACAATATATATATATATATATATATATATATGGAAGACAAGAAGCTTGCTAATGAGTCCTTATGCGTTGCGAAAAATTAGTTTTTCTTTTATATGACGAACCATTCAAGGCATATTATCTATTTGTGTAAAATGGTAACGGTCAGAAGGAACTACGGAAAGAGAAACAAAGAAGGAGACGATAGGTATGTGGCCAATAAATAAGTGTGGATTAGACTTCTTGTTGATGAGAGTGATGAGCTTTATTATTTATTGCAACCTTCTTATTATAGCCTTTCCCCCATCTCTCTTACTCTCTCTCTCTCTCTCTCTCTCTCTCTCTCTCTCTCTCTCTCTCTCTCTCTCTTTCTCTTGCTTAATAGCCAACCGAAGCAAATGCAACAATAAACAAAACGCAACCATATATTGAGAGTAGAAAGAGAATAAAGTTGCTTTCAATAAATGGCAACGCTTCGAATGAAAATTTGGATAAATTTGTGCCTCGCTCTGTTAATATTTGGATAAATTTGCATACCGTTCTGTTAGTGTGAGAAATCTGTATCCAATTCTGTTAGTGTGAAAAGAAATTGCATCAAGAAGTTTTTCAGAGAGCCGGGAAAATGTTTCAATCACAAATAAATAAATAAGGTTAATTTCTTCTTCTTTTTGTTTGTTTGTCTACAAGAGCATTAAGCCCTTACAGACTACTGAGACTAAGTCACCTCTTTCTTCGAAGACACCCCATGCATATGTACTATATAGCTATACAAACAATATGTAAAATGCATAGAGTGGCACCAATAATTTTTATTGATCAACAAAAGCGTTACTATGCAGCGTCAACAGTTGTTCAAATTGAAACTTGTTGACATTTTATTTTAATTGAATTTGAGTACATGTAGTGCAAACAGTATAGCGAGCATTTTGCAAACGAAGATGAAGGCCAGGAAGTTGAAGACTTACTACGCATCGAGGCGCTGAGAGAGGTCGTGAGGGGGTTAAGTCCTCACGACAAAGTTGTACAGGTACAATTCGACGAAGCAAACACAAATGAAAAAGCAACATATTCGGCGATCGAGGATATCCTATACGGTTGCGGCTACGTCAGCTTAAAAAAAGTTACGAAGACGGAAGAATATCGAACAAACCTCATCTTCGGTGTACGTAGCCTCCTAACGAGTTTCAACATGCTAATCAGCGTCCTTATTTTGCTTTACGGTATCTATCGCAAATTGTTTTCATCAGTTATTATGTTATTTACTTCTTCTTCTTAGTAGTGTTATCTGTTTATTAAAAAACCCTAATAGTTCGTGATTGTGTAAACAGAGAAAGCAAAAAGCACAAGAAAAATTTTTTTAATTTATTGCTCTGAAGAAAATGAGTAAAGCGTGTAATAGTGAGTAATATCTATAATATCTGCCTTTCGTCAGATCTGTTCTTATTATTATATTACTGTCTTATTAATAGTTATGCGTTTGGCTTTGTTGCAACTTAAGGGCAGTAAAGACAAATTGGCCAATTTAGAAAACGCTTGCAATAAAATACAAGAAGTTGTTCAAGAACATGGACCACGTCTTATAACATTGCCTGAATGTTTCAACAGTCCGTACGGTACAAAATATTTCCGTGAATATGCTGAGCGTATACCTACGGGGACAACGTCGCAACAGCTTTCCGATTTAGCCAAAAAATGTAATGTTTACATTATAGGTGGTTCGATACCAGAACTAGGAGAAAATGATAATGTTTACAATACCTGCACTGTTTGGTCGCCGCAAGGACAATTAATTGCCAAACATCGTAAAATGCATTTATTCGATATCGACGTTAACGGTGGTATGCGTTTTAAAGAGTCCGATACGTTAACAGCCGGCAATGATTTTACTATAATTGAGATAGATGGCCATAAAATTGGTATAGGCATTTGTTATGATATACGTTTTGAGGAAATGGCACGTATTTATCGAAACGCTGGTATGTTGTATGTAGTAATACGAGATATTGATGGCTATTGATAATGAAGTATTTCTTCTCACACAATGAAAAGGTTGTGAAATGCTTATATATCCGGCTGCATTTAATATGACTACGGGGCCCTTACATTGGGAATTATTGCAACGTTCTCGGGCGAATGATAATCAGTTATTTGTGGCGACTGTATCACCTGCGCGAGATGAAACTGCCGAATATGTTGCTTATGGTCATTCAATGGTCATCGATCCTTGGGCTAAAATCATGAAAAGCGCCAAGGAAGGTGAAGAGACAATTATAGCAGATATTGGTAAGCATTAAGTGATTCGCTAAAAAAAATTGTATTCAAGAGCAGCGTGTGTTAATACAAAAACTGGTATTTTAACATTTTTAGACTTCTCTATGGTAGAACAAGTGCGCCAACAAATCCCAACCTCTTGTCAAAGACGTCGCGATTTATATGAAACATCCAAAAAGTGTTGAAAAGGCTCTACAGTTGATTACTTTAATATTTTAAAATTGAAAATAAATTAAAACGTATTTATTAATGTTTATAACAATTTTTAATTTTTTAATTTAATCTTTTTTCTTTTATATTAAGCACCTTTAATGGAGATTGGCATTGATCCCATATACGAACACACATGCATATACACATACCCACCCAAACATATAATTCTTATGTAAATGGAAATTTATCTTTATATAAAAAAAGTGATCAATCATATATTAAAATGTTGTTTTTTTAAGTAAGAGTTAACATTCCCTATTTGCTTTGGGTTCCTGTTGAAGTTTCATCTTTTTCTAATGAACACTTTGCTGGTGTATTAAATGGCCTCTGCGTTTGTCCAAATAAAGCTTTAATGGCTTCATCTGTAGCCATTAAAGGTTGGCTGATAAAGTCAAGTGATTGTATAGCGTATTTCTCCGCCTCACATAGTGGACTTGTAGAAACTGTCGATATATTTAAGTTACCATCTGGCATTCCTACTCCTGTGTGTAATACCATTTGTTGGAGAATATTAAGATTTTCGGCACTTAACGTGATCACATCACTGGCCGGTAAATTGAGATAACGTATTTTAGCAAGAAATTTTAAATTCTTTAATATTTCTAATTGCATATCGCGTAACTGATGTGTGGCATGCAATAATTGTTTAGTGGATTCGGTTAGCATTTGATTCTTTTGTGTCAAGTCAGCCTTCCAACGGGCCAATTCTTCGACCATAACGCTACTAGCCAAGAATTTTGAACGCCATACTTCACACTGCCCGGCCAAAAATTCAATTTGCTCAGTATGAGTGGTTAAATTATTGGCCGTGTCTAATAAAGCACGGGCCAGCTGCAATTTATCTTCGGTTAATACATTGACGCGCGTCAGCAAGTCTTCCCCTACTGATGCGACTAAAAGATTTTTAAGTTCAGCGTTAACTTGTGTTTGAAATTTAAATTGTCCTTGATAGTAATCGCGTTCTTCACTTGTTTTCTTCAGCATAGCTTTAAGATTTTCCAATTCACTTAAGTCCTTAGTACTCTCTGCTACGGGGACGGTAACTTGCGATTCTTGCAATTCGTGTGTTCTAATTGTGGACATTTGCGACACCAAGACATGAATATCCAAATTATTTTTATTTCTTTTTATCATTTTTCGAGAATCGGAATTATTGGCTTTTTCTGGCACGAGTGGATTTATCGCGCCTGGATATGGTTCATACGGTACGAATTTTGGTGGTTTGGTTTTTTTGTGTTCTGGCAAACTGCTTGCAGGTGTTACTAACCGGGGTTTTAATTTTATTAATTCTCCTTTTGGCTCCATTGGGGCCAGACTACGTTTTGCACCTTCTTGTCGACGGTATAAAGAATGAAGACCCGGCAAAGGTAAGCTGTATTGCGTTTTAGTAGAAGATCCATTTGTAAGATTGGAAGTGGAAGTTTTGCGTTTTTTTATTCGTTCAATAGTTGAGGAACTATCCATTGATAAGCTACGCTGAGGAATGTTCGAACGTCCACATTGATTGATAACACGGGACATTGTTTGATTGCCAATGGGATTTTCTTCTACCTTCTCTCCGTCATTAAAAGACTGCGTCAACTTTTGAAGTAGCTCTTTAGCCGCCATATCCTCCTCTTGTTCCATTCCATCGCCGCTGGTTCGACCTTATTTTAATTAGATATGTGACTTATGCCCATCTTTTTCACGTATTATAATATATTACTCACATTTTTCTAATTCTGCTAATGCGTTTCGTTGCATTTCGTTTTAAATTCCTTTCTTCTCTTCTTTTGTTTTTAGAAAGTTATACAAAATATATCAGTTCCCTGCCTACTTTATTTTCCGATGAAGATGGAAAAGTGATTGTATATGTTTCTTATCGGCAACAGTACATGTTATCGATTGTTTCTCTTCTTTTTGTTTTTCAGAGCATCATATATGAAAGATTCAAATTGATTTTAAAATTATGATTTTAAAATGATGAATTATTTATTTTAATTTCCCATGATAAGCAAATTAATAACAAAAAGTTTTGACAATAACTTTAAATTAACTGAAGATAATCCTGAATTATTTGCAAACAAATTTAGCTTCGATATTCAAGAGAGAGGAAGCCAAATGTTGATAAGATTAAAATGTGTGTAAGAGGATTGCTTCGAGAAAGAGTGTACTGGGATAAAAGAAGATTCCAGTAAATGGAGGAAAGTTCAGATTTCCGTGTAACAGCGCAGTCTCTTCTCAGACATTGCTGTGAAAAAACCTATAAACCCGTTACCATACCAATTAACCCATTACGAACAATAGGACAGATAAAGAATTAGTCAAAAAGTTGTTCGAAACGGAACTTCTTTGCTGTCCTTCCTTACCTGTCATTTGCTTATACGGGCGAATACCAATTACATCTATAAATATTATTTTGTCTGCTTAAGCTTGAGAAAGCTTATCTTTATATGGCGCTTGGGGTGTTTGCAAAGACGCAACATTAAGCATCAAAGACTCTATAAAGTATTCTCGATTCGAATCGATTAAGCTGCGTCTGTCTGTATGTGTGGTATGTATTGTTGACAATCTCCTTGTCTCAAAAATGGAAATAGCGACTTCAAACTTAGTACAAACATTGGAAGTTTCTGCTGGTATAGAAGATTTTGTACATAACTCAAACGAAGGTATATTATCTGCCTATAAATGCTTTAGTTCTAAAGTAAATACCACGGATTAATTTCTTCTTAATACCGTCAATATGGACTCTGAGAGTAGGAAGCGAGAAGCTAAGTGTGCAAATTCTGAATTAATTATTATGGACGTGGTTGATCAATTTGTTCCTAAAAATACCGCGTTAACTCTAAATCACTTATAGTAAATTTGAGAAAATATTAGCTATTTTGATTTGTTCAGTAAACATTTTGTAACTAGCTAAAGACCCTAATTGTTTTTTAAATCACCTTTGAGGCCTTTACGAACTATGCGAAATCCGAGAATTGCAAAGTCCTTGTAAACGAAAAAATCCTTACTAGTAGCATTATAACACGACAGTAATACATTTTTTTATAAGAAAATAAAGTTTTTGAAGAATTTAATATCTCTCAAACTTTAATAGAAATTGGCAAGGAAATCAACTTTACCGCGGGCCTACTTCTTGGATCCACACAATACAAGCAAAAACATATGTTGAGAATGAAGAAAGCACAAAGTTGCTTTCAAGAAATTGCAACGCTTCAAATGCTGTTAAAGTGGTCGAAAAAGAGGACCGGAAATCTGTTAAATGAGAAATCACAACAGAAGTTAGGTCCGCAATTCCGTCAAATGAGAATAAATGAGTTCAAAACATTTGGCCAACGAGTTGCATAATAATTAGAGCGGACTTTCACAAATCGCCCATAACGCAATTGCGCAAAATTAATAGTTGAATAACCGTATTTCGAACCAAAAATCTCTCTGGAGAACGACAACAAATTACCACAACACTTTGAAAATTTTAAGGTATAAATATTTTTATTTTATATCGAAAAGAAGCGTTCAATTTTGTTCTTCCGGCTTAAATGTTATTGTCTCAGATTTAAAATTATGAACATCCTCGAACCATACATCTTCACATCCTTCTGGATCGTTCAAAGCAGTTGGAAACGGAGGCGCTATTTTATGTCTACGCAAAGGCAAAATAGTATCGTATATGTACACTAAACCGTTTGTGGAACCTGGTATTGCACTGCCTTGGACCCACAAAACGTTATACTTATTATTAATGCGCCAAATGCGTAAACCTTTTGCTTTGCGCCAACGATTACCCATGTGACCAGGCAATTTTGTTCCCGGCCAAACTCTGCCTTTTTCACCTCCACCGCCAATATTACCAGGTCGACGATGGGTTTTCGTAACACCGTGAGAAGCAGGCATTCCCTTAAACCCATGCCGCTTAACGACACCTTGGAAACCGTGATCGACTCTGTTAATTGTATACGACGTTAAAAGCAAAAAGATGATTGAAACTCATTCTTACGTTTTTCCTCGCACGTCTACGTAATCTCCAACCCGAAAATGATTTGCATTTAGAGGGGTGCCAGGAGTAATAGCCGCCGAAGGTGATATTATAAACCTGGCTAAATGTCTTTTCGGCATCACTCCTGAATTCTTAAACAGATTGCAGTATTCTTTCGTTAATATTGATGGATCACAACTTTCAGCACCAACAAGCAAACATCCGTACTTGTTTAATTCGGCCATTTTAGGACGTTGAGCAGGTTTATATTCCTCCGGGGGTGTATATTTAATAGCATAATTTTCAACCACGTGTAACAAAGTGGTTCTAATTTTCTCCCCATTTTTCAACCAAAGGGGATATTGGCCAATTTTACGCGCTATGACGCCAGTGCGACGTGCGTACGGCGTCCAAGGCTGCACTTCTAAATCCTCTGTTTTAACTAATTGCGTTTGACATTTCTGATTGTATGATTGTACTCCTTTAATAATCGAAGGCTGGCCATATACATCGTGCACCATTTCTTGCACGAACGATTTGTTTTCCGAAGTGATTAGATTATCTCGCATCTTGAAAACAAAATTTTTCATAAACAAACATTCATTAATAAAATAAGAGATAGAAATACTTTGCGTTCTTTACGTAGAAACCAGGATGGATTGCGTAAATGTGGTCGGCTAAGATGGCCTTTTTCACGTACTTGCAAAGTTGTGCATAGTCTGGGAAATGTTAATTTTAATAAAAATAAGTATAAATATATATATAATATGATTAGTGGCATAGCATTGCAAACTTACCTTAGTTTCAAAAAGTCCCTTATCAAAGAATGCAACATTGAATTATTATTATTCTTTTTAGTAATCACGTTTATTTTCAATAAAATTATCCTAAAGCCAAAAAACTGATGTTATCGTTTTCGTAATTCACTGTAAGCATGTACCTTTAGAGACAACGATGTGTTAAATTCACTATTATATTTGTAACGCACCGAAAGGCCAACAGGAGTCTTAATGAAACGCACGTAGTTTTGATTAGTTTGAGAATTTCTTAGCATGTCAATCAAGACCGTCTGTTAATGAATGTTAATGAAATTGATATGATATTATTTTTGAATTTTTATATAGATTTTTTGCCTGATTTTTTGTTCTTTTTCAAACAATTTATCTTATTATATGGCGGTGTTATCATTATAAGGCTTTCAACAACTAAATAGACGGCTTAGTAATTAAAAGAGAGAAAATTCTCATTACTTTTGCACATATGGTTCTCATGAACGAATTCAACACACTTGAAAGTTTAAGGAATGTAAACAAACTGCACGCACAACTGGGCTTTAAAGAAATTTCTCAAAAATCAATACAAGCCATTTCGTTAGTTTTTATTTCTTTCAAAAATATCTATACTATCTCGCATTTAATTTAAAAAATGATCTTGTCTTTCCAATTAAAAAAAGAGCCAAGAAGTGAAAATTGCACCATATGATGAATGCGATGATATTTTCTGGCCTAATTTTTTGTTAAAAAAAAAAAACTTTCCAGAAGAAAAATTTAATATTGCCTTTATGTATTATATATATATATATATATATATATATATATATATTTTATTTGGATCTTAAGTTAAGATGAACCAAGCCAATATGTGTTACAGTAGGGCAAAAATTATTGTTAAACAGTCTTTTTTTTTAAATTAGCATTATTTTGAAATATTTTTTGGTACTAGATTAAACATCCTACGGGGTAAAAATTAATCAACCTTTCAAAAGACAACCGTGTGAACTTTTGTATTAGTGAAGAGTGCAATGCGACTATACTGGAATATGAAATTTAGTTTGAGCTGAGAGATTGTTAAGGCGAAAATTATTTAAAAAAATCGTGCAATTGAAATTAATGATTCATTCCTTTTAATAAATTCACTTTCTACGTTTTATGAAGACTAACGAACAATGCTAAACATTCACAATTCAAAGAAAACTTGAATTAAGGATGAGCAGCGGTGTTTTATAGTAAAAAAAGGCTTGCGTGGAGTTTCCAAAAATAAACAAGACAAAAACAAAAAAAAAAAAAAAGGAAAAGAAGAGAAAAATTTACAAGATTGTTGCATTATTGGCATTGATTATGTCGTTTAACAATTCTCACGCGAGAGCTGAAATCAATAGTGATGTTACTGACATAAATCATCAGTTTGAAAAGGTTGAATTGATTGTACCAACAACTGGTAAATTATTTTTCGAGCATAAGGGCGAATTGATATTTTGTAAACCGCATTTAATGCCTCTAAAATCACAAGCCTTAGAACGTTTAGAGGAAATGCAACGCGATACCGCTCGGCAATTGATGGAAAAACGTTTGAAAACGCTGTCGAAGAGTAAGAGCTTAAAAACTAGTCAATAAAGGCTAACGGCGTCACAAAATATCCTCGTCGTACATCAAATCTATATGTAAACATTCTACTGCAAAACAAATTAAAAAGGCTGCTTAAAGAACTACTATGGCTTATCTCTTACCATTTGCCATCTGTTTGGCTCTATGTTTAGCTGGGGTGTCACTTTATCGCTACGGAAACATAAAACGCCAACATATCATAGTAACGCTGTCAGTGTTGATGGCTTGGTGTTTTTCTTTTTTAATAGTATTTACGATTCCATTAGATGTCACATCAGTAAGTTTTTTATTATTAGAGATGTTAAGCGCGAATGCATTGGAAAGACTTTCTTTTTTTTTTTAGACTCTATATCGGCAATGTTTACAAACGCAACGTATTGGTGTATCTGCCACAACAATTCATTCGATTGATTCGATTAATAATAGTGACTCTTTGGACATCGCTCCTGCGAAGCTAATAACAGAAAAGAATACGGAATGCCAAGCGCCTTGGGGTATGATTCCGGAAGCCGTTTTCCCAAACTTGTGGCGTATAATTTATTGGTCTTCACAATTTCTAACGTGGTTGATCATGCCTCTAATGCAATCGTATTTAAAGGCAGGCGATTTCACAATTAAAGGCAAACTGAAATCGGCTTTAATCGAAAATGCCATCTATTACGGTTCGTACTTATTTATATGCGGCATTTTGCTGATTTACATAGCTGCTAAAGGCGTAACACTGGATTGGCAGAAACTAAAAGCAATCGCTTCTTCTGCCTCTAACACTTGGGGTCTATTTTTACTTGTTTTGTTATTAGGTAAGCGTAATAGATTTTAATATTCACATCCGTGACATGAACTAATAGAGTAAGGAAAAACGCGGAGTTATCTTCATATTTAAATGAAGTTTAAAGAGTCATATTATTCAATAAATAAGCAGGGTGTTCTTCGGCATGGTAAGGTTTAGATATAAGTATCTCAATATTTGGATATAGTTGTTTCAATATAATACATTCGTCGAAGTGTTTTCGAAGCAATGATATTAGGAATTATTTGATACCCAGATGTTTTAATGCATTCTATGCATAAATTACCCAGCAGGTAAAAGTTACTAAGGGATAGTATTAGTTCAGCTGAATGTCTCAATAAGCAACTCCACCATGTGATTTTAGGCTTTCAAGGCTATGTTGCAGTATTTAGAAGTAAATGTTCTTGTGCACTCATTATTTATATTTGGAAATTCTAATTATTTGATGTAGAGTGATATGAAAGCCCGAAATAATATCATTCATAATTATTTTTCGTGTTTTAGGTTACGCTTTAGTAGAAGTGCCACGTTCATTGTGGAACAATGCCAAGCCTGGTTTTACCGTACAGTATGCTTACTTTAAACTCTCAAAGTTAAATACAGAAAAGGCAGAAGCTGAAGAGAATGTTGACGATGTCCTTGAGTCCTTGCAAGGTATAAATCGAGCTGTGCCTAATAATCATGAATTGCGTCCATGTGTAGAGACTATAATGCGTAAGGTACCTAACGAATTGTTAGAACGAGCTATACGTAATTATTCAAGGGGCGGTAACGGCGGTGGGACATCAACTATAGTTCCCTCGGAAAAGGCCTTAATACGCATACATAAGCAAGTAATTAAATCATTGCAAACGCTGCAACGTACTGAAGCTTTGTGGAGCGTTCAAGTTGAAACAGTACTGCACTTAGAAGATGTGGCACGTAATATGAATTCATCGGAACGACGCTTCAAGAGTGAGTTTCCTCACCAGCGATCCAAGTTCGGTCGTATATTATACTCTCCGGTTTTGCATTGGTATTGGGCTTGTTTGTTTAGATCGCCATTTCTCAAGGCGCTGTGTGTCTTAACCGCTGTTATGTCTGGATTGGTGGTTTGGAGCGAGCTGACATTTTTTCAGAGGCGACCGGTTCTATCTATATTTGCAAATATTTTAAATGCGGCTAAACACAGTTACGATTTTTTAACAATTGAAATGCTTTCAATGATCGTTTTATGCTATCTCTTCTATTGTACATATTCTACGATATTGCGTATACGATTTTTAAATCTGTATTATTTGGCACCGCATCATCAAACAAACGAACATAGTTTAATATTTAGTGGCATGTTGTTATGTCGCCTCACACCTCCTATGTGTCTCAATTTTTTGGGTCTTATTCATATGGATTCGCATATAATTAAAGAACGCGTAAAGGAAACTTACTACACTCAGATTATGGGGCATATGGACGTTATTGGTATTATATCTAATGGATTCAATATTTACTTTCCTATGTGTATGTTGGCTTTTTGTCTCGCTACTTGGTTTAGCTTGGGCTCAAGAGCTTTAAATGCTATGGGTTTCCAACAATTCCTGCAAAATGAAGATATAGTTACAGAGCTGGTGCAGGAAGGTAAAGATCTAATAGCGCGCGAGAAACGTAGAAAGCAAAGAGCGGAAGATGCTTTGACAAGGCGTAGAGACTTTTCACGTCCCGAAGTTACAGCTACGAATGAATATATCAATAAATATCGTAATCTAAATATAAGCACAGCAATAAATAATAGTGGACGTCCTACGCAAAACATACCATCCGACGATTTATTGGGCAATGGTGATAATCTACATTATTCTACATTACCTCGTTCATTATCCGATGAGATTAATGAACGTTTTGGTATTAGTACACAAATGCAAGTTGGTTTTAAAGGCTCGTCATCCGCGAATCGTTTAGAATATGACGATAATGAAGGCACGGGTACAGAGCCCCCCCGTGGCCTTTTTGATGATGTGTAATCTGAGCAATACACTTAAGAGCTGATAAATATTAGTCACAAAAAGAAAAAAAACATTAAAAGAAAATGTTCTATAACAAGTTGTTAGTTGCAATGACTGTAGTGATGTAGTGATTATATGCCAATTTACGTAAAAAAAGAAAAAGATTACAACAAAGAACGCAGCATTCGAAACATGTAACACTAGCGTTGCTGCTATCTTAGTATTGAAAAAAAAAAAAACATTTTTCTCTGTGCAGTTACGTGATAGCTTTTAATCTTATTGTCTGCGTACGCAGATGAATGCTATTAAATTCCCATTTATTTCGTGGTAGATCCTACTTGTAATATATATCTATGTAACTAATTTCGGTTGCTAATAAATTTTTTGTTAGTTTATGTAAATTAAAATAAAATAAATTATATTTATCTGGATATTAGTGCAATAGCGGTATATATTGCCGTACTGTTGTATGCTTCTCTCTCCTCCCTTTTTTGAAAACTTCGTATTTACTTAGATATAAAAATATTTTTATTTATGTTTAAAATTTAGTGTATATTGTCGCAATAAAGAATTCATTTACATACGTATTTACATCCACGTACTGTTTCCGATTGTTCGGAGAGAATCACAAAAAAGAAAGAAAGAAATTCTGGAAACCTTGTGGTGAGTATCCACGTGGATATTTCCTTATGCTAGCTTAAGGCAATTAATTCATCATATGCAGTCAAGCGTTATATAACGTCATGGCGAGAAACACTCGAGGTTTTATGAAAATATGATGATATTTGGACGAATAAATTGAAGTTT